GAGGGCTTCTCTTTAGGTTTGAGGGCTTCTCTTTAGGTTTGGGGACTCCTCTTTAGGTTTGAGGGCTTCTCTTTAGGTTTGAGGGCTTCTCTTTAGGTTTGGGGACTCCTCTTTAGGTTTGAGGGCTTCTCTTTAGGTTTGAGGGCTTCTCTTTAGGTTTGAAGGCTTCTCCCCAGGTTGAGACGCATCTTTCCAGGTTGAGGATTCCTCCTAATCCCTGAGCTGAGAAGCTTCTCCCCAGGTTTGAGGGCTTCTCCCCAGGTTAAGAGGCATCCTTCCAGCTTTGAGGGCTTCTCCTAATCGCTGGGCTGAGAAACTTCTCCCCAGGTTCAAGGATTTCTCTTTAGGTCCCGGGGCTTCTCCCCAGGCTGAGAGGCATCCTTCCAGCTCTGAGGGCTTCTCCTAACCCCTGAGCTGAGACGCTTCTCCCTGAGTTTCAGGGTTCATCCCCAGACCAAGACCACCTCCCCACCTCTCTCCCTCCCTCCCCAGGGATGGACCCCGCCGCCTCCTCCAAGAGCAACCACTGCCTGGACGCGGCCAAGGCCTGCAACCTGAACGACAACTGCAAGCGCCTGCGCTCGGGGTACATCTCCACGTGCAGCCGGGAGCTGGCGGGGGCCGAGCCCTGCAGCCGCCGCAAGTGCCACAAGGCCCTGCGCCAGTTCTTCGACCGCGTGCCCGGCGAGTTCACCTTCCGCCTGCTCTTCTGCTCCTGCAAGGACCGCGCGTGCGCCGAGCGCCGCCGCCAGACCATCGTCCCCTCCTGCTCCTACGAGGACAAGGAGAAGCCCAACTGCCTGGACCTGCGGGGCACCTGCCGGGCGGATCACCTGTGCAGGTAAAGAAGGGGCGAGGAGGGGCGGGTGTGGCTGGAAGGGGGGGGCTGGAGAGGCCCGGGGGGACCTGGAGAGTCCCACGAGGACCTGGAGAATCCCAGCTCTGCAGGGGCTGGTCCCAGCATGTCCTAGTTAGGTGTGGGACCTGGAGAATCCCAGCTCTGTGGGGGCTTATCCCATCTGGCAGTGGGAGCTGGAGAATCCCAGGGGGACCTGGAAAATCCCAGCTCTATGGGGGGTGATCCCAGTTGGCAGTGGGAGCTGGAGAATCCCAGCTCTCCATGGGCTGATCCCAGCTGGCAGGAGGGGCTGGAGAATCCCAATGGGAGCTGGAGAATCCCAGCTCTCCATGGGCTGATCCCAGCTGGCAGGAGGGGCTGGAGAATCCCAATGGGAGCTGGAGAATCCCAGCTCTCCATGGGCTGATCCCAGCTGGCAGAGGGGCCTGGAGAATCCCAGTTCTCTGGGGGCTGCTCCCAGCATGTCCTCATTAGCTGTGGGACCTGGATAATCCAAGGGAACAGGGATGGAGCCTCCCTTTGCTGCTGCGAGCGGCAGAGCCGTATCCCTGGGGAATGTGCAGCTCCATTCCCCACCTGGGATTGCTCCACCTCCCCGAGCACATTCCCCACCCGGGATTGCTCCACCTCCCCGAGCTGTGGAGGGGTGAATGTTCAAAGGGCAGGAGGTCACACACGTGCCCTGCAAGCAGCCAAACCCCTCCCTGTGCTCCCGGCATCCCAAAAAAACCTTCCCGGCTGGTGAAATCCGCCGTTTTCCCCGCGGGGGAGCAAAGGTGGGAGCTCAGGCTCCTGTGCAGTTATGAAACTCATTATTCACACGGCAAAAAACCCTCCAGGGGCTGGATCAGCCTCGTCAGGGATCTGTCTCCTGCCAGGAGCAGGAGGGGCTTTGCTCCTCTTTGCCATCGGGGTGATGGAGTTTCCCGGCAGAAGAAATGAGAGCTCCGGGTCTTCCTCCGGAGCCGCTGGAAATGTGGGAATTGGGGCTTTTTATCAAAAAGTAATACAATGAGCCAACGTCCATGAATAAAAGATAGCGGTGAGTGGCAGCACCTCTCCATCAGCTCGCCCCGAGGGGGGATGCTGCGGGTGAGGGAGAGGGATAACCCGGGCGAGCGGCCACGGAGCTGCCGAGCGTTAATGAGGAGCCTGATCCTGCCTGAGATGAAATTCCAGCAGGAAGAGGTGAAGCAGCAACGGGAGGGAAGGTGCAGCAGCTGCTTGGAGTGTTTGCTCCGAGGTGGGAGTGCACTTTTCTGGGATGGGGACGGGTGCTGGGGGCTGCCTGGATGGGGGTCCTTGCTCTGCAGGACACCCCAATCCAGCGTTTCGTTGTTTCCAGCAGAGCTGTGCTGCGGCCTCAGGTGTTTTCCCCTCGTGGTGGGGTGTTCCAGGACATGGATGCACTCCTTGGATCTGGGTTTTCAGGGGAAGGTCTCATCCCATCCACTCCCCTCTGGCATCTCCACACAGGAGCGACCAGGCATGAACCACCCCCCTCCATGTCCCCTCATCCCAAGGGGATTTCCCACTGACATCCCTGTGTTTATCCAGCAGGTTGATGCTCATCCTTACCCGACAGGGGCCTGGTGAGGGATTGAACTGGGAGCAGATCCCCAGTGCTGTCCCAAAGACAGGAGATGGGATAACTCACCTGCCCCGGGCAGGAAGGGGCCTTTCCTCCCCAGAAAAGCTGAGGAGTTGGAAGGGAAAGGGCAAATTAAAAGATCCAGCGTGGAAATCACCCATTCCTGGAGGGTTTTTGTGGATTTTTGCTGCTGTTTTCCAGCTGTGCAGGGCTGGGGGTTCCATGGAGGGGGGGATAAAATCCCCCAGCTCCTCCATCCTGACCGAGGTGTGGGTGTGCTCTGGGTGCTTTGGGAGGGGTGTCTGAAGCTCTGGGTCACCCAGGGGTGCCCGTGGCTGGGAGGACACCCTGTGCTGTCCTTCTGAGGGCAGGAAGGGGACGGGATTTGTCCCCTGGGCTCCTCCCCCTCAAGGACCCAACCCCTGCTGACAGCAAGTTAGGTGTGGGAGCTGGAGAATCCCAGCTCTCCATGGGCTTATCCCATTGGCAGTGGGAGCTGGAGAGTCCCAGGAGGACCTGGAGAATCCCAGCTCTCCATGGGTTTATCCCATTGGCAGTGGGAGCTGCAGAGTCCCAGAAGGAGCTGGAGAATCCCAGCTCTCCATGGGCTGATCCCAGTTGTCAGTGGGACCTGGAGAATCCCAGCTCTCTGAGGGCTGATCCCATTGGCAGTGGGAGCTGGAGAGTTCCAGGAGGAGCTGGAGAATCCCAGCTCTATGGGGGCTGATCCCAATTGACAATGGGACCTGGAGAATCCCAGCTCTCCATGGGCTGATCCCAGCTGGCAGTGGGACCCGGAGAATCCACTGTGCCACCCCCTTCCCGGCTTTGTGGGTTATTCCGGGGCACAAATCCCGGGTTTTTTTCTCCGGATAAATCGATTCCAACGCCCTTGACCCGTCTGACCGCTTAAAAAAAAATCCCCCCGGGCCCTTCCCCGCCTCCACCGGGCTCAGATCGCGCAAATTTGCGCGGCCCTTTGTGCCCAGGGAAGCTTTTCCCGGCGCTCCGGGAGCCCGACGAGCTCCCGGGGCTTTTGTGTCTGATTGCGACGACGACGGGCAGGTTTTTGAGCTCCCGGAATGTAAAAAAAAAAAAAAAAAAA